TTTCCCATGTTATCTAATTAGGAAATAGTCCAAATGTTCGAAGTTCAAAATACACAGTGTCTGACACAGGACTAAGCCCAGTTTTCTATTGACTGTGGCCCCATGTATCAGCTCACTAAATCTATGTCACCTCTTTTCCCTTGCATTTTTTTCCATCTGGCTTAGTTTTCCTTTACAAAGGAAAAGCAAAAAAAGAAATCAATTCCCCTCTAGAGTTTTTGGCTACATACAGACATTGCATTTTTACCAGTATAAGTGAAACTGCTCTATACCCATAATAGAACAGAAATTCAGCACACAGACTGGTTTAAAATGCTGGAACCCAGTCTAAGATTTGCCCCTCCACCAAAGGAAGAATACTGTGTTCTGTTTGCCACTGATCTAAACTATGCCACTTACAGAAAACCACGTAACTTAGATTGATTTCTCCTTGGGTTTTTTGAATGTCTGTATCTAGACTTTGAGTTTATTGGTTCAATATCATAGTTCTTCAGGTGTCCGGTTTAAGGACTCTCTGAAAATAAGTTGTGACCCACTTTATAATTGAAACCGTGCCAATAAAATACTAAAAAATACAAACCACACTCTTTTAGCATAGGCAATACATGAAAAAATATTTCAGGGAAATATGAGTGAAACTTAAACCAGAGGCCTCGGTTTCATCCTTATTTGCAGTAATGTCACTTAAGTGGGGCTGTGATTTGAAGAGAATAGGCAGATGGGAAAAGGTGAAAGGTAGGGCTAACACACACAGGGTGGAAAAAGTGCCCCTTTTCCTACCAGAATTAGAGAGTAGAAAGATGCTGCATGGGCTGAAGGAAGGGAACACAGAATGCAGGTGAAGTTTCATTAAACCAGAAGCATAGGAAGGGTGAAAGGACGAAGTTCTTGTCATTTTTACCAAATGCCATTTGTTTGCTTTAGTAGAAAACAAAAATATTTCCATTTTTACTTTCCAAGCCCAAATATTTTCAGTGAAAAAACTCAAGGTTTATTTACCCATAAAAATTTTTCCTTTGAATGTGCAAACTACTTGCCACTGGCTAAGGCTAGGAACAGGTGTTGCATTTGTCCCTGGATAAATTGTGCCTGTGTTTGTGCTGGAACAAAAATATCCTGGGATTGGCATGTGCACATATCCTTCTTCTAATTAGGGTTAGGTAAGCAGATGAATGCAATGCAGCTTTTCTGCCATTGATTCAATGATGCAGTCCCAGGAAAACTACAGATGTACCTTGAAATATCCTGAGATAAACTGTTACTACCTTTTAGTAGGAAACTTTTTGAGGACTTATCCCAGGACAATGGACATAGACATCTGTACAATTGCATTTTGCCCCAGGATTAAATGGTTTATCCAAGGATACATGCAACATCTGTTTTGCAGCCTAATTACACAAAAGTAAACATCAGAGCTTGGTTTAGATTTCAGTGACTAGACCATGCACACGTTGTAGCTGTGGTGGGCTACAACAGTGTTGGGAGCCTTGCTGTAACATAATAAATGGTGGGCAACTGGAACTCCACCCCCAGGCACCCATTTAGGGGTGTGCTAAAAAATGAAGCTGCCACCATTGCTGGCCCAGTTGCCATAGTTGGCCCAGCCCCTGCCACTATCCCTGCTGCTGTTGCATCGGGCACAGACCCCAGATGTTATGTTTCTGGGACCTTATGTTTAAAGAGTGCTGTGTCTCGTGGGGTCATCTGGGGATTAGGTGGTAAAATCACCAGCACCTAATCTACATTTGAACTTACACAGTTAGTGGTAGTTCTGATAACCATTTTCCTAAGTTAGACAAGCCCTTCAGGACAAAAAGCCAAGTTCATTCTTGGCATAACTTCACTGGCGTGGAGTCAAAGGAGTTATACCCAGGGTGACTTTTGTCTGAAGAGTGTGCCTTTTCAACACAGTCCACTAAATCAGCCCATTCTTGCTCCCTCCTTTGTTTCTTTATTTGTGACTACACTGAATTAGCATCTTAAAGAAGCTGCCATGGGAATTGGAGATGAAGTAGCTAGCATTTTTGTAAACATCTACAAACTGTTTGTCATAGCAATTCCTGGCCCAAACTCAGGTACACAGTTTATTCATCTTGGACCTTTGATGCTAGTCTGGGCTCCTAAAATCTAACAGCATAAGATGAATGACATATGATGTGTGGATGAGAGAGACAGGGAGACCCTCAAATATATACTTACCGTATATACTGAAATATCTGCTATTTTTATTTATAATTACATAAATATCAACCTTCTGCAGCTATTTCTCATGCATCTCCCTCTAGTGCCCCTTGTCTGAGCTGTGCTGTTTCTTGTAGGCATTGTGGCAGAAGGAAATCATACAAAGGGACTTGAAGGAAAAAAGATGAGTGAGTGTTTCATAGTTCCACACATAAGGGACTGTGCAAAAGGTTTGGCAGAGGGGATGGCAAGTGGTCAAGACCAGCATTGCTGGTGAAGGAATTACATGCACTAAACACTAAGAGGGGATGAACAGGGAAGGTCAGAGCTCCATAGGACAAACAGCTCACTTTGATATGAGTTGGAGGAGGTGGCAACAGGGGAGAGGGGTGGGGAGTGGACAGAGCAGGGAGCGTTATCTAAGGACGAGAGAGGAGTGATCTGAATGTTGGGGTTGGAGGGAAGCTGGGCATCAGTAGTCAGAACTAAAGGTGATGAGGCTGCAGACAAGAGCTTTAGCTGTCTGGGCAAAAAGGAAAAGTCTGATTTTGAAACGTCATGGGGAAGGGCATAGCAGGATTTTGTCACAGGTGTGTGGAAGGGTGAGGTAGAAAGGTCACCAATAATGACAGCACAGGGGTAACAGAAAGGGCAGAACTGGATTAAAGCATAAGAATTATAGGCTAAATCCCAGGATCCAGTGGATGGAGTCATGTCATTGCTCCAGAATCCCAGCTCTCATTTAAAAAACAAAACAAAACAAAACAAAAAAACCCAACAAAAAAAACCCTCCTCTGTTCATGGTAAAAAAAAACAAAAAAAAAAAAACCCAAAAATTGAAACTATGACCCAGCTTAACTACTGCAGCAGTGTATACCTGAACTTGTGGATAGTATGAAACATCCATGTTGAGATTTGTGAATTGCCTGTCCATTTTAATGGGGTATTGACTAATATTCACTGTCCTTGGGGCACAGCTCCCCCACTGAAGCAAATACATATTAGCTGTGGAAGACAACAGCGCCTGCTCCCAGCTGGGTCACTCAAAAGGAGGAAGAAGAATCCTACTATCACACTTATTGCTCCCAGGAATTGGCAGGGTCACACTTTAGGAGGAAAAAGACTATCTGCCACTGCCCCTCCCTCACATGGAGGGAGTCATGGGGTTGGAACCATGAAGGACCTTATGTTATAATATGATTAGGACCTTTAATCTCCCCCTGGAGAGGTGTGTGAAGGTAAATTGAGCAAGTCAGATTGTGGTAAATTAAAGTGAACAAGGCATATGGGGAGAAGTCTGCGGAACAGATTGAAGTGTGGGATTGGAGGGAGGGGAAAAGGTGAAGAGCAGAAAGACAAAACAATGAGACACTGACATAAAAGTGCTGGCTTAAGCAGGTGATGATAACGCCCAGACAGATGGCATAATGGAGAATAAGAGTTAACAAGAACAGCACTCTATGGGAGGCCCTTGAAGAGTGAGAAAGGAAGAAGCAGATCTTCTAAAGAAGATTTTCAAGGAACAATTAATCAGCAAGGTCAGAGGAAAAATAGTGAAAGCTAATGAATGACAGCGTCTTTTGAAGGGAAGCTGTGTTAAAAGTGGCAAAGTGTTTCAGGGAGCTAAGAGCTTGAGATGCAAAGAGGAAGAAGTCATCATTAGAGAGACCAGTTTTGGTGTCAGGCAGAGGGTAGAAGCCAGGCCAGATGGGATTCAAGAGGGAAAAGTAGAACCATTAGTTGCAAATTGTACACTCAAGTGTTTTAGAGGTAGAGGGAACAACGGAAATAGGAAAATAGGTAGAGTCATGGATGTAGGTTGACCATATGGAAATCCAGGACTTCATCTGGGAATCCAGGACACTGTGCCCCAGCTGTGTCCCAGGCAGACAGCAATGCCTGTCTGGAAGGTGGTCTGTGCTGCTCTGACTCCCAGCCAGACTATGCCCAGAGTCCCTGCATTTCTGGGATTCCCATTACATTTCCTAACAGTTGTCCGGGACCAGCCTCTAAAATCTGTGATTGTCCTAGCTATAACAGAACATATGGCCACCCTATTTGGATGGGTTTTCTAAGGGTGAGGAAATGCAAAATATACCAGCATTTTGGGGAGGAACAAGACCATAGCAGCAAGGGTGTAGGAAGACAGAAAAGGGAAGCAATTCGATTAAGGCTGACTAAGAGGTTACAGGCCAGGACAGATCCAAGAGGTCATGGCAGTGTGTTAAAGAAAGACAGCAAATGAGAAACCCCCACATCAGGAAAAGGTGGTGACAGGGATGAACAGTGTGTTAGAAGAGGAGAAAAAGAAATGAGCTGGGGAGACTATGACAAGTGCAGCAGATCTCATTGATTTTGTTTCTTCTTAAACAAAGAAAAAAAATCAGTAGGAAATTGTGAAAGAGAAACGTTTTTTTCTTTCCAAATAGACAAGGACCACAGCTCTGTTCCCAGGGGGTTTTTAATTGAACTAAAAGCAGGGCAAAGCTAACTAATGCAGATGCCTGTTGGTTTTCTAGAAATGATTATATGGAAGCACAGAAAATACGTGCTTTTCCAGGAGTGACACTGGTTTTCTTTCTCTTCTGCCCTAAGCCTTTTTTTGTTTAGCTGTAAACCATACAACACTAGTTCTTCCTAGTCAGCTCCTCTCACTCCCCCACTCTCCCCTTCTTGAGAATGAAACACAATATCTTAAACAAACAGATCCTAAAGAGGCTAATCATTGGCTCACATTGTCCCCTGATACTGCAGTCCCGCCTCTTTGGCTTATGCTGACAAGCTGTTTATGTTTTTGCAAGGCCACCCTTTAACTCAGCCGCCTGATGGCCATAATGGGACCAATTGTCTGAATGCTGCAGGGAGCTGAATCTCCTGGTCAGCAAGACTGAATTTCAGTCTCTGATACTCCTGAATGGACGTTATGGAACACTAGTAAGTAGGCTTCTGACTGTGCGGTTACAGTTTTTATAATGAGGAGGTTAAGGATAATCATTCAGCAGAACTGGTAAGAAATTACAATTCCAATCTTTGCTAGAATAAAATGTGTCCTTCTGTTTGAAGTAAAAGGACAGCTACTTTGTATTCAGTGTCACAACTACAAAGACCGGGTTATTTTAATTTCCAGTGAGAATGAGATCCTCCTACCTTGGGGAGAAAGAGACAAAGTTGAAGGGAAGCAAGGTGTTTAAACTTGTTCCCCTGCCCCCTCCCTCCCCTTCCTACCGTAAAACTATAGGGACTTTAGGTTATCATCAGCATTTAGTTCTTTTCTATTGGCCACATTTAAATAATTTAGCATCTGGTTGTATTTCAAAGGACAGACTGTAGCAGCATTTTCTGGTCATGCTGCTTGGAAAAGCATGAGAGAGGAGGATATGACTTATAAACTTAATGCTCCATAAAAGTGCTTGAAGGTGCAGTTGTATTGTAAGATATACGTCTAGTAGTAAGGAAAAAAAGTCCATGTTCAGCAATTTTAGTATGCTTTACAGTCTGCTGTAAGAATACTGTTAGGCATTTCTCTACGAAGTAGGAGATTTCAGGGTTTGAATGGGCTTAGCTTTCTGCATCCCAAGCATGTCCTTTCTGATTCTTAACATAGTATATTTAAATGGTGCTTTTCATTTTTAACATGCCTTGAAAAGATGAATGAATTACTACTTATCCCCCACATCCTACAAGGCAAAGTCAATATTATTTCAAGGAGAAGTGGGCACAGACCAGAATCTCTGAACTAGTCCCCTGCCCACCTCCCCAGAGCCTTCATCCATAATTAGCTGTATAATTTAAGCCTGTCTGTAAATCCACATTTTACAAATGGGGAAAACAGAGACACAAGGGTTTAAGTGACTTGTCCAGGCTGTGCAAATAGTCATTGGGGAAGCAAGTACCAGAATTTAGACTGGCTCCCATTCTGGTACGCAATATGTGGTGTTGTCTGTCATTTATTGCAAAATCCCATCAGATAGTGCAAGCAGACTTTTGTAGTGATGAGCTCATGTCAGAAGGGTTGTTTCAGCTAAAAGAAACATCCAAGGGTTTGGCTACTTAGCAAAACTTCACAAACCACTGAGAAATGCAAAACCCGGCTGGAAATGTGGGGAGAGCAGATTCCCAATATCTTTTGTGTTGCTTTCTTTTGCTCTGGTTAGAAAAGTACCCTGGCAGTACTTAATGAAATAATTATGCTGGCAGAACAGCCTTTCTTGCTGCTGTCTGCATGTATATAATTCAGGTACCACTGGAAAGGCAGCGATTTACAACAACAAAGAGGAAAAGAGTCCAGTTCAGGTTTTGGGAAGAAGATACATGGGAAAGAAGGCCTTTATTGTAAATTGGTCTGTTCACCAGACCCAGAACTAACCCTTTTTTGATAAAGTCTAAGACGAAAATTCTTTCATTTTTAACATTTAATTCAAATCATCATTAACTTTGAGTCACAAACCAAAACACAAAAGCAAGTTCCTAGGTAATTATGTGAGCCAGTTCTCAAGACTGTTATGGGCAACCAAAAAAGGTCACATACCTAGGATTGTCATGGGGCAGAATATTGCCCAGGTGGTGAGGTAGCAGCCACCTTCGCCCTACTTCCTGGGTTCTCAGTTGTGCACAGTTTGAGCCAACCTGAGAATCAGGCCTGATGCTTATTACCTCATCCCTCTCATGCTCATCCATAAAACATTTATCATGACTCAGATCAAGGAACCTTGCATTTCAGAGGGTCATCTGTGTGAAATAGTCACTAAAATACCATACAGTGAAGCAAATATAAACCCAGGTTTAAAAGAAAAAATGCCATCAAGCATTTCATGTAGTTCATTTTAGATGTATGTAACTTGGCGCTTATGAAATAAGCCTTTATTTTTGAAGTGCTAAGGAATATATGAACTTCGTCTATTTTAGAGGTACACAGTACACATCAGATAGTATAGTAAGTAAAGTATACTATACTCACATTGTAGAGTATACAGACCAATGCTGATTACTGAATTAGGATAGTTCTATGCTGGGCCAGCTGTTATATATCATAGGTTTTCAGTGACTATGTCTAAGCAATGTATAGATGTTGCAGGATTGATGCAAAAATGGAAATTAATTTGTTTCTTGTGTGGGAGACATGGCACCCAGACCCCCTTCCCAATTAATAGGAGAAACAATGGAAGATGCATCGGATTTCAGTATCTATATTGTGACACCAAAAATACACCCAGACATTTTAGATGCATTTTGAAATGATAGTGTTAAAAAGAATGAGTAAATTCATTGCATTGCATCCAGCAGAAGACAGGACTACGAGGCCTATCTGGAGCTGTGCAGAATATGACTGGCTCAGTAGGGCAAAAATAGTTAATATTGGCTTATCTTCCATAGTGAGAGAGAATTTTCTGGATGTGTTCGTAGTGATAGCTGAATCCAGGAACTGCACTAAGGTCTCTGTGAAAGTAGCTGACTAGAGTGTACCCCTCATCCTCTAGTAATAATACCTGGAGATGCTGAGGTGATAGCCACTCTGTGAAGACAATGCTTTACATTTATTAATGAAGTGGACCTTAAAATAGCCTGCAAGGCAGATAACTGTTATCCTCATTCTACAAAATGGGGGAGTGGAGTCAGCCAGGGAGCTGAAACCAAATCAGGATGTCCTGCCTCCTAAAGCTATTTATTTGCCTCAAGATCATATATTTGTGTGGTTCATGTGCCGTACCTGGGCTGTGTTCTGATTTATCATCAGCAGCACTTTCTGTTCCTTGTGTCCTTCAGCCTGTAGGTACAGTTGTATTCTCTTTAATGTGTAATAATTAAATTAAGCAATCAGCAATTAATGGAGAGTATTAATTTGAGGTTAACTGTAATCCTGATCTCTCATTGCTGCTTTCCAAATCTACTTCCCACTGCCAGATAGATTATCTGTAAAGCTCAATCTGATTTAATATACTTCCTTGGACTTGTTCTTAATGAAATGTATGTTAGACCAACTCTTAGCCTTAGCAGCCATTTGGAGAGCTCTGAGAAATTATATCTTTGTAAAGAATAGGAGGCAATTTTAATTTTAATTTTCACTGTCTTCTGACTTAAGGCTAGAACCCATGAAATACTGCACGTTCTCAATCCCCAGTGAAAGTATAGGATTTAAGGGTGCTTATTGCTTTGCGGCTTTATCACATACAAGTACAAGCAGTGATCATTCATGTTTTTTAAAATGACATGCAGTTAAGCTTAAAATTAGAGCTGGGTTGAGAATGAAATAGGAGACCTGCTTAGGTATCAAAGGCTCCTGACTGAAATAACTGAAGATAGCTGGAAAACTAGCCTAACAAATAATATAGGAAACCTGTGAGTGCCTACTCCACCCCCCACTCTCCCCCCACAAAAAGAAAAGAAAACCCCAAACACCTCAAAACCCCAAAACAAAACAAAACGGTGACAGGGATGTAACCAACTTTCCCTTGAGAGACATTTGCAGCAAAGTGATTAAACAAATAAGAAAAGAACTAAGTTTTAAAAGGAAGAGGCTGAGATAGAGGAGATAAGGGTTGCACACATAAGAAGTTTTTTTTCTGTCGGGCTACTTGCAGTAGAAATAAGGGTACATCTATACCACAGTCACTGCTATGTGGACAAAAGCTACATAATACTTGGACTTTTAATCTACACTGAGTTCTATGCTATTGTAGCCATGCTGCTAGGAGAAACCAAGCTATTTAGTTTAAAGCTAGCTCTGATTGACTGTAGTGTAGATATACTCTAAAAGGCTACTTCAAGACAGAACAGGTTTGACATGTGTGAGTGGGATCAGGTGAGTGGGACCTGCTTCAGAATATCCCTCACTGGCTAGGGACAGATGTTACAGATAAACAGGTACAAATGATCAGAAATCGGATCAAATCTGTAACACAACATATGGCCACCCTACTTCAGTCCGTATGAATCACTTTCAAAATGGCTGAAACCGGTTTAAGATAAACCCGGAAGGATGTAGTATCAGATTTAACTGATTTAGGTTTAATCGGTTTATTCAACTTCTGTCCCAGATCCCCTTCAGATTCAAGTTAACTCAGTCCTCCAGCATCCCAGGATGCTTCGCACATCCCTCAGAAGCCCCACTTGCAGGGTGGGAGCCTAGCTTTGGCCCAAGCTGTCTGCTCTAGCCAAGCAGGGTGGCATGCTCTAGTGCTTCAAGGCATGTGGCTGCATTTCTAAAAAAAAAAAGGGAATGTCTGTTTGCTTGCTTATCAGTTCAATGTATGCAGTTTAGACTAACCTGGGAAGACTGAACCAATTCAGCCTCTGTTTTTTTGACTGTCTGTACTTAGCCACTGAGAACACTGAGTAAGGTGTAAAGAGATGTAAGTGACAAATAACCCAGATGTGACCTTCTGCTACAGGCCATTCTGTCCTTATCTTTAATATTTTTGTTGATGGATTAGATATTGCCTTCCTTTGGCAAAGGGGTAATTGCAAATAAGTTATCAGTGCCTACGAAATTCAGATTCTGTCTCTCTCTCTCTACAGCAACCCTTTTTTCGGGGGGAAATTGTAAACAGTGTCTAGAGACAGCATTCAGGACATAAGGCTAGAATTTAGTTTTGCTTTGGACCTTGCATGTCAAATGGCCATTTACACCCAAAGTCTCTGCAAAAGTTTTTAAGGCCTTGGTATGGTTTAAGTCAAATTTATTTTTGGGATCCATTTTCCTGGTTCCAAAAGGGAAACAGCAAAGAAGTTATAGTAACATCAGAAAAGGAAATGTCCACAGGTAATGGGCATTCTAAGCACATGCTCATTTCTGTTGTATGTATATCTCAAGATGCACGGATACAGCTAAAGCTAGTGGCTCTTCTTTTGTTTATGTTATTTCTGGGCAATTACTCATGGTGGTAAACACCATGCTCAGAAATAAAGATTGTAAGACTGTTATTACGTAGGGCAAT